CGATCAAAATTCGGGTATACGGGTTTCTAAAAAAATTGTGAAACTATTAAAAAAATATCCGTAGCATTAGTTTGAGATCTGGTTGTTTTCAAATAATGAGATGTTTGCCTCTATTGTTTGACATCATTCCGAGCTTTCTAGGTCTACTATGAACTTTTCTGGCATTGGAACAGTCTTGATGACCGGCAAGCCTAAACATCAGGTCTTGTTCTGAGAAAGAAAAGTTCGTAAACATTCGAATCGAATTTCAATCTTGGTTGGAATTATCGGTGCTGAACTTCGATTTTGCAACAAGGGAATGTTACCACTGAAAAGAGCGAAAGATCCCTGAATCCGAAATTTGGTTTTGGCTGAAATAATTTCGCTACTGAACTTGGATTTTGAAACTTTCTTTGAAATTCCGGTTTCAGCATCTGTACTGACACTCGATAAAGGGGAGGGGCTTGCAGTGTCCTGGATCCTGAGGAGCTCGTAATTATAGCTAGCCCGAATGTGCCTGACAGGCACATTACTTAGGTGCGAGAATATGGCTGGGGTGAGAAACTTCTCCCACCCCACGCACATGCTGCATGCGCTCGTAAGTATCAAAAGAACACCTCGATTCGTTGTTTAGCGTTTTGAAAGTGCTTTAATTCCCATTTGTAAATAATAAAAAAAGATGATAGCTCTCTCAAAGGAACGTTCTAAGAAAAAGATGCAAAGCTTATTATGTGAACAGTAAATTGCAAAACAAAATAGTATCCTTTTATTTTGGGATTCAATAAACAAGTTGAGTAAATTATTACATGGTTTATTTGGCTCAAAAGGGAAGACGAATATGAATATTACGAATTGGTTACTAGTGTTTCTGTGGTCATCTCACTTGCCGATTTCTCAGGAGTAGTCTCGGTGGCTGGCGTTTCTGGAGTCATTTCACTTGCCGGTGTCTCAGGAGTGGTCTCTGTGGCTGGCGTTTCTGGAGTCATCTCACTTGCCGGCGTTTCAGGAGTGGTCTCTGTGGCTGGCGTTTCTGGAGTCATTTCACTTGCCGGTGTCTCAGGAGTGGTCTCTGTGGCTGGCGTTTCTGGAGTCATCTCACTTGCCGGCGTTTCAGGAGTGGCCTCGGTGGCTGGCGTTTCTGGAGTCATCTCACTTGCCGGTGTCTCAGGAGTGGTCTCTGTGGCTGGTGTCTCTGATGTCATGTCACTTGCAGGTGTCTCAGAAGTGGTCTCGGTGGCTGGCGTTTCTGGAGTCATTTCACTTGCCGGTGTCTCAGGAGTGGTCTCGGTGGCTGGCGTTTCTGGAGTCATCTCACTTGCCGGTGTCTCAGAAGTGGTCTCTGTGGCTGGTGTCTCTGATGTCATGTCACTTGCAGGTGTCTCAGGAGTGGTCTCGGTGGCTGGCGTTTCTGGAGTCATCTCACTTGCCGGTGTCTCAGAAGTGGTCTCTGTGGCTGGCGTTTCTGGGGTCATTTCACTTGCCGGTGTCTCAGGAGTGGTCTCTGTGGCTGGCGTTTCTGGAGTCATCTCACTTGCCGGCGTTTCAGGAGTGGTCTCTGTGGCTGGTGTCTCTGATGTCATGTCACTTGCAGGTGTCTCAGAAGTGGTCTCTGTGGCTGGTGTCTCTGATGTCATGTCACTTGCAGGTGTCTCAGAAGTGGTCTCGGTGGCTGGCGTTTCTGGAGTCATTTCACTTGCCGGTGTCTCAGGAGTGGTCTCTGTGGCTGGCGTTTCTGGAGTCATCTCACTTGCCGGCGTTTCAGGAGTGGTCTCTGTGGCTGGTGTCTCTGATGTCATGTCACTTGCAGGTGTCTCAGAAGTGGTCTCTGTGGCTGGTGGTGTCTCTGATGTCATGTCACTTGCAGGTGTCTCAGGAGTAGTCTCGGTGGCTGGCGTTTCTGGAGTCATCTCACTTGCCGGCGTTTCAGAAGTGGTCTCTGTGGCTGGTGTCTCTGATGTCATGTCACTTGCAGGTGTCTCAGAAGTGGTCTCGGTGGCTGGCGTTTCTGGAGTCATTTCACTTGCCGGTGTCTCAGGAGTGGTCTCGGTGGCTGGCGTTTCTGGAGTCATCTCACTTGCCGGCGTTTCAGAAGTGGTCTCCGTGGCTTGTGTCTCTGATGTCATGTCACTTGCAGGTGTCTCAGGAGTGGTCTCTGTGGCTGGCGTTTCTGGAGTCATTTCACTTGCCGGTGTCTCAGAAGTGGTCTCTGTGGCTGGCGTTTCTGGAGTCATTTCACTTGCCGGTGTCTCAGGAGTGGTCTCTGTGGCTGGCGTTTCTGGAGTCATCTCACTTGCCGGCGTTTCAGGAGTGGTCTCTGTGGCTGGTGTCTCTGATGTCATGTCACTTGCAGGTGTCTCAGAAGTGGTCTCTGTGGCTGGTGTCTCTGATGTCATGTCACTTGCAGGTGTCTCAGGAGTAGTCTCGGTGGATGGCGTTTCTGGAGTCATCTCACTTGCCGGTGTCTCAGGAGTGGTCTCTGTGGCTGGTGTCTCTGATGTCATGTCACTTGCAGGTGTCTCAGAAGTGGTCTCGGTGGCTGGCGTTTCTGGAGTCATTTCACTTGCCGGTGTCTCAGGAGTGGTCTCGGTGGCTGGCGTTTCTGGAGTCATCTCACTTGCCGGTGTCTCAGAAGTGGTCTCTGTGGCTGGTGCCTCTGATGTCATGTCACTTGCAGGTGTCTCAGGAGTGGTCTCGGTGGCTGGCGTTTCTGGAGTCATTTCACTTGCCGGTGTCTCAGGAGTGGTCTCGGTGGCTGGCGTTTCTGGAGTCATCTCACTTGCCGGTGTCTCAGAAGTGGTCTCTGTGGCTGGCGTTTCTGGAGTCATCTCACTTGCCGGTGTCTCAGAAGTGGTCTCGGTGGCTGGCGTTTCTGGAGTCATTTCACTTGCCGGTGTCTCAGGAGTGGTCTCGGTGGCTGGCGTTTCTGGAGTCATCTCACTTACCGGCGTTTCAGAAGTGGTCTCTGTGGCTGGTGTCTCTGATGTCATGTCACTTGCAGGTGTCTCAGGAGTAGTTTCAGTGGCTGGCGTCTCTGATGTCATCTCACTTGCCGGTGTCTCATAAGTGGTCTCTGTGGCTGGTGTCTCTGATGTCATGTCACTTGCAGGTGTCTCAGGAGTAGTTTCAGTGGCTGGCGTCTCTGATGTCATGTCACTTGCAGGTGTCTCAGGAGTAGTTTCAGTGCCTGGTGTCTCTGATGTCATCTCACTTGCCGGTGTCTCAGGAGTGGTCTCGGTGGCTGGCGTTTCTGAAGTCATCTCACTTGCCGGTGTCTCAGAAGTGGTCTCTGTGGCTGGTGTCTCTGAAGTCATGTCACTTGCAGGTGTCTCAGGAGTAGTCTCGGTGGCTGGCGTTTCTGGAGTCATCTCACTTGCAGGTGTCTCAAAAGTAGTCTCGGTGACTGGCGTTTTTGGAGTCATCTCACTTGCCGGCGTTTCAGGAGTGGTCTCGGTGGCTGGCGTCTCTGATGTCATGTCACTTGCAGGTGTCTCAGGAGTAGTTTCAGTGGCTGGCGTTTCTGGAGTCATCTCACTTGCCGGCGTTTCAGAAGTGGTCTCTGTGGCTGGTGTCTCTGATGTCATGTCACTTGCAGGTGTCTCAGGAGTAGTCTCGGTGGCTGGCGTTTCTGGAGTCATCTCACTTGCCGGCGTTTCAGAAGTGGTCTCTGTGGCTGGTGTCTCTGATGTCATGTCACTTGCAGGTGTCTCAGGAGTAGTTTCAGTGGCTGGCGTTTCTGAAGTCATCTCACTTGCCGGTGTCTCAGGAGTGGTCTCTATGGCTGGTGTCTTTGAAGTCATGTCACTTGCAGGTGTCTCAGGAGTAGTTTCAGTGGCTGGCGTCTCTGATGTCATGTCACTTGCAGGTGTCTCAGGAGTAGTTTCAGTGCCTGGTGTCTCTGATGTCATGTCACTTGCAGGTGTCTCAGGAGTAGTCTCGGTGGCTGGCGTTTCTGGAGTCATCTCACTTGCAGGTGTCTCAAAAGTAGTCTCGGTGGCTGGCGTTTCTGGAGTCATCTCACTTGCCGGTGTCTCCGGAGTGGTCTCTGTTGCTGGCGTTTCTGGAGTCAACTCACTTGCCGGCGTCTCAGGAGTGGTCTCTGTGGCTGGTGTCTTTGAAGTCATGTCACTTGCAGGTGTCTCAGGAGTAGTCTCGGTGGCTGGCGTTTCTGGAGTCATCTCACTTGCCGGCGTTTCAGGAGTGGTCTCGGTGGCTGGCGTTTCTGGAGTCATCTCACTTGCCGGCGTTTCAGGAGTGGTCTCGGTGGCTGGCGTCTCTGATGTCATGTCACTTGCAGGTGTCTCAGGAGTAGTTTCAGTGGCTGGCGTTTCTGTAGTCATCTCACTTGCCGGCGTTTCAGAAGTGGTCTCTATGGCTGGTGTCTCTGATGTCATGTCACTTGCAGGTGTCTCAGGAGTAGTCTCGGTGGCTGGCGTCTCTGATGTCATCTCACTTGCCGGTGTCTCCGGAGTGGTCTCTGTTGCTGGTGTCTCTGATGTCATGTCACTTGCAGGTGTCTCAGGAGTAGTTTCAGTGGCTGGCGTTTCTGAAGTCATCTCACTTGCCGGTGTCTCAGGAGTGGTCTCTGTGGCTGGTGTCTTTGAAGTCATGTCACTTGCAGGTGTCTCAGGAGTAGTTTCAGTGGCTGGCGTCTCTGATGTCATGTCACTTGCAGGTGTCTCAGGAGTAGTTTCAGTGCCTGGTGTCTCTGATGTCATCTCACTTGCAGGTGTCTCAGGAGTAGTCTCGGTGGCTGGCGTCTCTGATGTCATCTTACTTGCCGGTGTCTCAGGAGTGGTCTCTGTTGCTGGCGTCTCTGATGTCATGTCACTTGCAGGTGTCTCAGGAGTAGTTTCAGTGGCTGGCGTTTCTGTAGTCATCTCACTTGCCGGCGTTTCAGAAGTGGTCTCTATGGCTGGTGTCTCTGATGTCATGTCACTTGCAGGTGTCTCAGGAGTAGTCTCGGTGGCTGGCGTCTCTGATGTCATCTTACTTGCCGGTGTCTCAGGAGTGGTCTCTGTTGCTGGTGTCTCTGATGTCATGTCACTTGCAGGTGTCTCAGGAGTGGTCTCAGTGGCTGGCGTTTCTGGAGTCATCTCACTTGCCGGCGTTTCAGGAGTGGTCTCGGTGGCTGGCGTCTCTGATGTCATCTCACTTGCCGGTGTCTCAGGAGTGGTCTCGGTGGCTGGCGTCTCTGATGTCATCTCACTTGCCGGTGTCTCGGTGGCTGGCGTTTCTGAAGTCAACTCACTTGCCGGCGTTTCAGGAGTGGTCTCTGTGGCTGGTGTCTCTGATGTCATCTCACTTGCCGGTGTCTCAGGAGTGGTCTCTGTTGCTGGTGTCTCTGATGTCATGTCAGTTGCAGGTGTCTCAGGAGTAGTTTCAGTGGCTGGCGTTTCTGAAGTCATCTCACTTGCCGGTGTCTCAGGAGTGGTCTCTGTGGCTGGTGTCTCTGATGTCATGTCACTTGCAGGTGTCTCAGGAGTAGTCTCGGTGGCTGGCGTCTCTGATGTCATCTTACTTGCCGGTGTCTCAGGAGTGGTCTCTGTTGCTGGTGTCTCTGATGTCATCTCACTTGCCGGTGTTTCAGGAGTGGTCTCGGTGGCTGGCGTCTCTGATGTCATCTCACTTGCCGGTGTCTTGGTGGCTGGCGTCTCCGATGTCATCTCACTTGCCGGTGTCTCAGGAGTCGTCTCTGTGGCTGGTGTCTCTGATGTCACGTCACTTGCAGTTGTCTTAGGAGTGGTCTTGGTGGCTGGCGTCTCTGATGTCATCTCACTTGAGGGTGTCTCGGTGGCTGGTGTCTTTGATGTCACGTCACTTGCCGGTGTCTCAGTGGTTGGCTCCCTGGCTGGTGTTTCTGTGGTCATCTTACTTACCGGTGTCCCAGGAGTGGTCTCGGTGGCTGGCGTCTCTGGTGTCAACTCACTTGCTGGCGTTTCTGTGGTGTACTCGCTGGCTGGCTTTTCTGTGGTCGTCTTACTTGCTGGTGTCTCAGAAGTGTGCTCGCTGGCTGGCGTTTCTGTTGTCATCGCTCTTGCTGTTGTCTCAGTGATAATCTTCTTACTTGCTGTTGCCTCAGTGTTCGGCTCACTTGTTGTCCGCTCGGTGGTTTGCTTGGTCTCTGGTGCTGCAGTTGCTGTTGTATATTTCCTTGTCGTGGCAACGAATGTAGTCTCAGCAGGAGTGGTCGTTGATGTGGTCGTTTCTTCTTTGCTTCCTGTAATTTTTGATTTTACCTTGTTTTGAAACAGTGTCAATCTTTATAAAAATATTCTAGTGTTTAAGCGTCGTACATGCGCTTCAATTCATTTTTTTTCGCTTCATTTTTTGACGTTTGAGAACTGTTCGTATGAGAAATTTATCACTTTGTGAAAGTTGCGGCTTAGCCCTCTTTAAACGAGCTGTCCGACACCATTCATGCATTCAAATCCAAAAAAAGTGATTGGCATCCTTTTATGTGAACTTTGGCGGTAATTGTCAATCGAGTAGCATAGCATTATGTGGAAGCAATTCGATTTTCTAAACTTTGCAGAGAATTTTGATCGTTTGTGACGGTTTTTTTCTCAGATTCTCCCCGCTTCTCCTTGTGATAAGGAAAGCTGCGAACTCGAAGCAGGGTGGAAGAAACCTGGGTAGAGGAACGAACACCTCGATTGGGCCACGCCTCCGCGGGCTGCTGGTCGTCCTACTGTTGTGCATCGTGTTCCTTGTTCTGTTCCATATATTCGGGCAGGTCTTCATGCGCTCGTCAGTCTTCTCTTCCATTTTTATTCACATCTACTTCACGTGTTTCAGAGACCTGTTTATGTCCCTTTTAATACAGATGCGAAACTACACAGGGCCTTCCTGGAAAACAAATAGCGAAGAGAGAATGAACGAGCGCACGAAAGCCCACCTTCCTGGCTACACAAATTCGCAGCTTTTCGGATCAAGGAGAAGCGGAGTAGAAGAAAGAATTGAGAAGCAACGATATGGAAAAAGCAAGGGGGCTGCGAATGCCCAAAAACGAAACTTATCGGAAAACAAGAAGAAAAGTTCAAATTATGCATTTTCAGAATTGCTCGCAGCAGCCGCCCCGCACTGTTTTGAACGGCGCGAGTTGGAGAATTTTGACCGTTCTCAACGGTTTTTCTTTCGAATTTCTCTCATTTTGGCCTTATTCCTCCACCCCGCTTCCATTTTTGATCAGTCGAACTTCGAAACTCGAAGCGGGGTAGAAGAATGAGCGCCTTTCTGCTCTGCGTATGCGACAAAATGAGTGTTCTTGTGTTCGTCCATTCTCTCTTGATTTTGGTTTTGATTTTTGCTCGTGATTTTTGCTCAAGACAACTTCATTTTTTCCAGGAAGCGGCTGCTAGTTTCCATAGCCATCTGCCACGAATTAGGGAGTAGGAGCAATTCTGAAATTGCATGAATTCGGACTTGTCTCTTGCTTTTGATGATTTTGGGCGTTCTCAGCCTCTTTCGTTTTTCCATATCGTTGCTTCTTCTTCTTTCTTCTACCCCGCTTCTCCTAGTGATGAGAAAAGCTGTGTGAGGCGGGGTTGAGGATTGAACGCTGTTCTGCTCCATGTATCCGGGAATATGGGCTGTCGTGCGCTTGTCCATTCTCTCTTCGTGATTTTTGCTCAAAACTGCTTCTTTTGTTCCAGGAAGCCGCTGCCTAGCTTCCACAGCCATCTGCCACGAATTATGAAGCAAAGGCGATTCTGAAATTGCATGAATTGGGACTTGTATCTTGTTTTTGCTGAGTTCGTTTTTGGGCTTTTTCAGCCCCTTTCCTTTCTCAATATCGTTGCTTCTTCGTCCTTTCTACCCCGCTTATCCTAGTGATGAGAAAAGCTGCGAACTTGAAGCGGAGTCGAGGACTGGACGCTGTTCTGCTTCATGTATCCGGGAAAATGGGCCTTCGTGCGCTCGTCCATTCTCTCATCGCTATTTTTGTTCAAACCTACTTCATATGTTCTCCTGTCATGTCAATTTCAATACAGATGCGAGACTACGCAGCGCCTTGCTGGAACACATGAAGTAGTTTTGAGCAAAAATTACGAAGAGAGAATGGACAAGCGCACGACAGCCCATTTATCCGGATACATGAAGCAGAACAGCGTCCAGTCCTCAACCCCGCTTCAAGTTCGCAGCTTTTCTCATCACTAGGATACGCGGGCTAGAAGAAAGGACGAAGAAGCAAAAATATTGAAAAAGGAAAGGGGCTGAAAAAGCCCAAAAACAAAACTCATCAAAAACAAGAGACAAGTCCCGATTCATGCAATTTCAGAATTGCTCCTACTTCCCAATTCGTGGCAGATGGCTGTGGAAACTACGCGGCGGCTTCCTGAAACAAATGAAGTAGTTTTGAGCAAAAATCACGAAGCGAGAATGGACAAGCGCACGACAGCCCATCTATCCGGATACATGGAGCAGAACAGCGTTCAGTCTTCAACCCCGCCTCAAATTCACAGCTTTTCTCATCACTAGGAGAAGCGGGGTAGAAGAAAGAACGAAGAAGCAACGATATGGAAGAACGAAAAAGGCTGAGAACGCCCAAAATCATCAAAAGCAAGAGACAAGTCCCAATTCATGCAGTTTCAGAATTGCTCCTACTCCCTAATTCGTGGCAGATGGCTATGGAAACTACGCAGCCGCTTCCTGGAACAAATGAAGGTGTCTTGAGTAAAAATCACGAGCAAAAATTAAAACCAAAGCCAAGAGAGAATGGACGAACACAAGAACACTCATTTTGTCGCATACGCAGAGCAGAAATGCGCTCATTCTTCCACCCCGCTTCGAGTTTCGAAGTTCGGCTGATCAAAAATGGAAGCTGGATGGAGGAATAAGGCCAAAATGAAAGAAATTCGAAAGAAAAACCGTTGAGAACAGTCAAAATTCTCCCACTCCCGCCGTTCAAAACGGTGCGGGACGGCTGCAGCGCATGCAGCGCAGTTCTGGAACTGTTCCCCGCACAGTTCCCGCACAGTTTCAGCACAGTGCGAGAACTGTGCGGGAACAGTTCCAGAACATGGGAATCAGTATGAACCCAGCCTAATCCTGCATGTAACAGACACATACAGTTATTGTACACTTGTCATTTTTCGTGGATGGAAATCAGAAGAAGTTGAAAACAGGAAATGGCAAACTCCGCCACACTAGTCCTAAGCTAGTCCCCTACATGCAGTTGTATACCACAATTCTTTAAGAATTGCATGGCCTTTGGTGTGCTTTAATCTTGAGGAATGCCAATTTTGACTGAAAAAACACATGTTTTCCTCCCTACACTGATAACAGATATGTACGCTGACTTATACTGTATAAATCAACTTGCAAATGTCGCTTTACATAACCCAATACATAAAGAATATTCAATCTGAATATACTACTATTGCGCCAATATGTCTGTATGGTTTCCTGTGATTGAGGTGAACGGTGGGGAAATGAAATAAGAAGTTTTTTTTCGCAGGAGACTGGTTTTTCTCGATTTCTCATTTGGCTCAAACTACTCCAAAAAGTCTCTCATTTTATCTTATATATATAGCTGAATGTCTGTTTGTCTGTCTGTCTGTCTGTCTGTCTGTATGTCTGTCTGTATGTGTGTACGTATGTTCCGAATAGAAAATTCCATTTCTGAACCGATCGGGACCAAACTTGGCACACATACACACACATACACTTCGGGCCCCGGCGGGTGTCATAGGCCACTTTTCGTATCGATCGATATCGATTTTATCGATTTTTTGCAAAATTTGAGCTACGGGGCTGGGAGTTGGCACAGGGGGGTAAGTGAGCATGGGGATTCTGAATACAATATTAGTTTTTAAAATCGTGCATTACTTTTATCGATTTTATCGATTTTTTGCAAAGTTTGAGCTACGGGGCTGGGATTTGGCACAGGGGGTAATCGAGCATGCTGATCACCCCCGTGGGGATGATCAGCATGCTCGATTACACCCATCTGCCAAATTCCAGCCCCCTAGCTCAAATTTTGCAAAAAATCGATAAAATCGATAAAAGTAATGCACGGTTTCGAAAACTAATATTGTATTCGTAATCAGCATGCTCGATTACACCCCTCTGCCAACTCCCAGCCCCGTAGCTCAAATTTTGCAAAAAATCGATAAAATCGACATCGACCGATAACGAAAAGTGGACTGTGTGACACCCGCCGGGGCCCGAGGGGTATGTGTGCCAAGTTTGGTCCGGATCGGTTAAGAAATGAATTTTCCATTCGGAACATACGGCGGAGCCGGGTAAGCCAGCTAGTGCAATACAATTTTAGAGACAACATTCTGTGATATCCGATTCGTACAGTTTATGGGAATGCACTGCGCACTGCGTCTTACTCCGGGTCAACTGAGGGGTGAAGGGATTTTGACGCAGTGTGGGAGCACGGCTCCTGACTAACGCAACAGTTCAAGTCCGATTAAAAAAGGTGGATTCTGAAGCGAGAAAATCGCTCCGGAAAAAAAAGGGGCGGTCCGCCAATCCCGCCTCCTTGACAAGTTTTGACGTGATGAATGCTGTAAATCTGATGTATTAACCACGTCAAAACTTGTCGAGGAGGCGGGATTGGCGGACCGCCCCTTTTTCCAAAACGATTTTCTCGCCTTCAGAATCCACCGTTTTCGATCGGATTTGAATTGTTGCATCAGTCAGGAGCAGAGCTCCCGCACTGCGTCACCCCCCCCCCCCGATTGATCTGCACAATGCTTATAAGCGCGCTAAAAGCATTCAAATTGCGGCACTCTCAAATGAGTGCTCTGCAGAATACAACAAATTAAAATCACTAGCGCTCAAAAGCACATACTAAAACAAAGCTAGATAGTTCGCGATTGGGTTTTGCGCAATATGCGAATAAGGGACATAGTGAATGACTGCTTAGCTGAGAGTTAGCCTTTAGTTCAACGCTTAGCCCAAAGGTATTGCATTTTAGTATATGAGATTGCTCATCTGAACTATAAGGGACCCGTCGCACTTCGCCCAGAAAAGCCGAAAAGAGCTCAAAAAAGCCCGAAAAAGCCCGAAAAAGCCCGAAAGCGCCAGAAAAAGTCGCAACGCAGAGGCGAACTTTTGGTAGAACTCTGACATTATTTTTTCATGCAGACGACAGAAAATGAATCAAAAAGACTCGGTATCGAAATCAACACACATGCTTCGGCGCCAAAACGTGCTAGAAGTGTTCCTACTCTTTCTGGCGCTTTTGGGCTTTTTTGGGCTTTTGGGGCTTTTTCGGGCTTTTTTGGGCTTTTTCGGGCTTGACAAACTTATAGGTTCTAGGGAAAGCTGTCTACGACCCGACACATGAATTTTCAGGCTTTTGGAAATTGTATACTGAGGTAATGTTTCAACGTCAGATTTTGTTGATAAATTTATTTCATGTTGCGAATTTTGATGTAAAAGGATCACAAATGCATGTTTTAGCATTTTATTCTAGTTGAACCTCAATAATATAATAGTCTATAGATCAACTAACCTTCTTCTTTGATTTCTTCAGCGATATCCTTGTCGGAGCCGATGATTACAATTTTTTTCATTACATCTTCTGTGATGTTGAAGGCTTTGAAGGTTTTTTCTACCTCCGATGAATTCTTAGTGTTTGACACAAAGCTAAACTTCTTGCTCAGTCCTGTCTCGGTTTTTACAATCTCAGCAAGTGCCTTCATATCTGGGTCATCCGCGCTGAAACATGTATACATCGTAATTGTTTTCATCATTACGCTGCAGCAGTGTTCTGCATGCTCAAAGGCGGCTCATCCTGAAAGATTTTTTTGTCATGCCTGCATGCTGTGCGCCTTTTCGTCATGTAGAACCCGATTTGAGCTTTGATCAAAATGAAGGAGTTGAAATCAGGGCTTTTGCTCGCTTTTCAAAACAAAGCTTGGATGTTAGTTCGAATGGAGTGTGCATGCTTTGGTATAGAAGCCAGCCGCCTGCAGTTTTTGCACATGATATGCTAGTTATTAGCTTGAGCTATCCTGCTTCCGCGCAGGACAGGTAAGCGAGTAGAACTGAGGCCGCATGCCAGTATAGATAGATTTTTTCTTTGCGAACATGACGCAGAATCAGATGCAAAGTGACGGAAGGCCACAGGTGAAGTACTCCATTTTACTCTCATAGGAACATGGGGTGACATTAGTTTACCCAAAAAATGAGAAATGTGGATTTCGCTGAAACTTTGTCTAGATGGGTTGTTCACGTTGATTATGAATATCACAATCATTTCGTACGGTAGTGCCATTTGGTGGAGGTACTGTACGTTTACGGTAGGGGGTCAAAATCAGGGATTTGCCCCAAACTTTGTCTAAAGAGGTTGTTTGGGGACTGAACATGAATATCACATTTTTTCCGTACGGTAGTGCCTTTTTGGGGTTACGGGTATACGGTAAAGGACTGAGAATCCCGAGCTTGCAAACTTCGTCTGAAGGGGTTCTTAAGGCTAATCGCAATTATCATACTCTTTTGCTGCAAAAGTCTTTTTGTTGGAGTTACGATGAGCTAAAAACTTTTCCGCCTTTCAGCCAAATTTAGGTCTTAAACCAAGAAAAGGCTTTATCATGGGAGAGAGTGCGATAAACGTGATCAGGACGTCAGATAACATCGCTGCACGAGCGTTCGAGCAGATCTGTCACTTTAGCCACCTACTTTCACGAAGTTGGGGACAAATTCGTGGTTTTGACCCTCTACCGTAACCCTATCGTAACTCCACAGGCGAAGGTATAGCGATCCGTGATTTTCGTTTCTTGAGTCAACTAATGTGGAGTAGTACCGAACTTGTTTCTACCGTACGCTGCCTTCAAGGTAATTTTTCTGCTGTGCATCATGGTTTTTTAGTTGCGATAATTTGATAAGAAAACGTACGAGTATGTAAAGTTGCATGGAGCATAATGCACCAATATATCCTTCTTTCTATCCGTCTTACTGAGGAATGTTTTGATGGCGCTGAAAATTTTATATTAGATAAGCTTTAATATTGTGTCAAGTGGTCTAAAGTTCTTTCAGTTTTGGATTTTTACCGCAATGATTCGAAAGCTTCTGAAATTTACAAGGAAACCGTGTCGAGTCGAAGTGGCCTTTCCAGATGAGACCCATACTGCTTTGAAGAGTATTAAGCGATGATTCCAAATCTGCCTTCTAAATCTGCCAAGCGCCCCTGGACGCCAAGTTATGACCGTTCTTCGGAACGAAAAATGAATGCAGAATTGAGGTAAAATTGATTGTTACAGTCTTCCCAGCGCTCAGATAAAGCAATGTTAAGTAATAGCATATTAAATAGAATGTATCCATTGCATAAACAGCTCTGATACTTGACAATGGACCATTTGAGCAAACTTGGGCGATTTTGCTTCAGTTTTGCGTTCAATTTTTTGACCCGAAAAACGAGCTTAACTCGGCGTCCAGGGGCGCTTGGCAGATTTGGAAGGCAGATTTGGAATCACCGCTTAATGCTCTTCAAAGCAGTATGGGTCTCATCTGAAAAGGCCACTTCGACTCGACACGGTTCCCTTGTTAGTTAGAATGTGAGGTATTCTAGAGCAGATTAAACTTTACAAGATAGCATGTAAGCGTTGGGGCTTCAATGCACCTCGAGTTAGAAATCGAAATTCAAGGAATTCCGGAGAATCATAATGAATAAAATTTATCCTTTGTCCAAAATATACGAAGATCTCCCACTGGCTCATGACTAAACACTCTACAATGGGCATTCATATATGCCGTCGCTGCATTCTACGCTAACATTTGAAAGAGCGAGAGTTTTTATGCTTTGAAAGAAGGGATCTATTTTGCCCTTACACGGTAAATGTATACTACAAGCCAAAAAGTATTAAACTCAACTTAGAAGACCAGGCAAGGAAAGCTAAATCCAAATTTTCGAAAGCTAGAGTTTGTAGAAAGCTGAAAACACATGTTCGTTTTTTAGAAGCTTGTAGTATACACTTGTCCTTGTGAAACAGGACAACAGGTTTTTTACAACATCGAAAGTTTAGTTTTTTCCATTTTTATCCTAAAAAAATTACAACAACTTCAAATAGAATTCGATGTAAAGTGTAAATGCATGAGCATGAGAGATAAGGTAGGTTTTGGACAAAGATAAAATTTCTTCTCAGTTTTCTGGGCATCCGGAACTTCTTAATTGTCGGTTTCTAGTTCGAGATATACGCTTACATGCCCCCATATAAAGTTTGTTTCGATCTATCGAGTGATTTTTTTACAACTCAATTATAACAGAATTGAGAAGTATATGACTTAATGCGGTAGAACTAAATGAAAAAATTATTACTTGAAAAAATTAATCGTAATTGGAAAATTTGCGACAACCAAAAAATCTGTGTCAACCACATGCTCCCTTTTCCGTAATAGCTACGTATCGTGCGGGCATTGGGCAGCAACCCATCGATGCGGCGAATTGAGTGTGCAAGCGGTAGCGAGCGCGAACTCGGCACGTGGCTCTAGTGTTGTGCCCGAGTTTATCAAAAAGGGAGCACATTGTTGGCAAAGACTGTGATGAAAGTACCAGCATTTACATTTGAAAGCAAAAAAGTCTCCCAAATCGATTCTGATATGATCTTTCAGTTTTATCGGGTCATCATAGGGTAGCGTTCAACTCTATCAAGTGCCTTGATGATAGGGTTGAGATTTATGTATTAGGTTGGCACATAAGTAATGCAACTTTTTATATAACTTTTGTCTATTTGGACGTAGCGCATTCATTTTTTTAGCAATATAAGAAATATTGATGTAAGCTTCTAATGCACACATTTTTGCCGAATTTTACCATCTTATGTGAGGATTACGGTAGGTTTACGGTACTATGGGAAATTTTTTAGAATGCATCAGATTTTGCTGAAACTTGGCCTGTAGGGCTTGTTATACATGCTGATCACAAAAATGAGATCCGTTTCGCATGAAAAGGCCTCGTTCGTGAGATCAAAAGATGAATTTCGTTTTAGCGACAAATGAATATGATATTCGTGTTTACCGCATAGGATTATCCTATAGTGCAAAGTTATAGCGAATTCTGACTTTTCGCAGCTTAGTTATTCACAAATTGCCTTCAAAAACGCATTTGACTTGTTCAACTTCCCAAAAGCGCTCCACCTTGATTTGTGTTTAAATTTTATTTCTTTTTTACAGATTTCAATCTGTCCACTTTTAGCTACATGCTGCCTATAATTGCTTCTTGATATGTTCAATTCAGGTTTCGTAGGGCTTCACGTTTGCAAAAAAACCGTGAAACCTCCAGTTTTCAAAAAATGCTTAGATTTTTTGTACTACGTTATCAAAAATCAAACGGTTTGAGCAGACCTGCAGCTTACGTCATGGTCTACATGATGCCCCAAAATGAGATTGCTACATAAAATGGGAAAAAAGTTACGGGAAAAGTTGCAAAACTTATGTGCCCACCTAATATATTGAATAAACTCACTCAGCTTGGTTAAAACCTGTATTGTTTTGACGCTTTGGCGTTATAGACTTCAATGCATTTATCGCATCGAGAGACTTCAGAGGTCCAATTTCTTCTATATAATCACCGTAGAGTATGAAGTTGTATTGCTGTGAAGGCTTGTTCTTGACAATCTCACTTATTGCTTTGTCCGTGTTCTTGACATTCTGTAAAGCATCATACTATTCTGACTCAACTCTAACATTTTCTGCTTTGTTTCTCCGTTGTAAGCGTAATGTTGAACCATCGAAAAATTAAATCTTTGATTATTAGGCTGGCACATAAGTGATGCAACTTTTTACACTCTTGTCTTTCTAAACGTAGCACATTCATATTCTGGCAAAATAAGGGTTATGATGTAAACTGCAAATGCAGGCGTTTTTACCGTGCCATCCTATGTAAGAGTGACGGTGGGTTGACGGTATAACGGAAAATTTTTAGATTGCATCAAAATCATCATTGGCTTATAGGAGCTATTCAACTCGATGATCACAATGAAATCCGTTTCGCATGAAAAGGTCTCTTTCGTAAGTTTAAAAAATAAATTTCGTTTTAGGACAAGTGAAAATGATTTTCGTGTTCATCGTAATAGATTACGCCACTGTGCAAAGTTTTGGCGAATTCTGAGGTTTCGCAGCTTAGTTATTAACAGATTGCCCTCCATATTGACGCATTCGGCTACTTCTACTTCACAAAAGCGCCTTTTCTATCTTTTTTTCTAACTTTCACTTCCTTTTCACTGATTCTTATGTGTCAACTTCTAAATGCTAGCTAAGATCCCTTTTTAATATGTTTGTTTCAAGTTTTGTACGGCTCTATGTTTGCCCAAAAATCGTAAAACCTCGATTTTCAACAATAATCGAAAAATGCTTAAACTTTTCTACTGCGTTATCAGAAAATAAACTGGGCTTACAGCTTACTCAATTTCTACATACGCCAGAATATGAGGCTACATTATACGAGAAAAAAGTCATGGGAAAAGTTGAAAAACTCATGTGCCAATCTATCAATGAAAAAGTAAGCAATATGGCGAGCGGTTTACTCGATCGATGTTTGAGAGGTTGTACGTTTCGCAAAAAACAAAAAAGGCATACAAGGTATAAACATTAAACTAAGTTTACGGTCACTCTCTACATCTTTTCAAAACCGTCTCGTTAAATCAAGCGATTTGAAACCCGGGATGTATTGTTGACCCTCTAATCATCAATTTGAATTTGTTTTTATAGCAATTTGATGGAATCGTTAGAGGTATGCCCTGAGCTTTAGACTCACCTTTTTGAGGCTGCACTTTTCCTCGATATCCCTTTTAGCTCTTAAAACCAAATGCAAGCGTGGTGGTGGTACCTTCACCTCCTCATCTCCCATATCTCCCTTGTACATAGAGAAATGCATCACCCTGAGTTCTAAAGCAAGGTAACTGCAACAAGACAACTTTATTTGCAACCGCTAAAATCATATAATACAATCTCTAAAAGGAAAATAACCGCTGCTCTCCCCCCCCCCACCACCCCACCGCTGCTTCATCGTAGCGTGGGGGTGGCTCTGGGTGTCGGACTGCAATGCCAGCCGAGTGTATACTCTGGCAGGGTCTTCCAAGCCTGAGAAGGAGTTCGACTTTTGCGGTTTCGGCTGAAAGCCCAGTTAAAGCGCACCGAGTCAGAACCCCGCTTCGTTTGGCTTTCTGATCGCTAGGCCTTCGCTTCCCGCTCCACACGCGCGATTAGCGATCGCTCCGTGAAAACCAAGAGTTGACCTAATAAGCCTGCCTTTGTGAGGGGAATTTCCATTTACTCTATCAGCTAGAAAAGAAAGAGACTCTGAACATCGGATTCCGTCTATGACGCCGTGTGGTAGCAGAAAAGATGGGGGGGGGGGGGGGGGAGTCTTTGTCGTCTGATTATCTACCGTTCATTCTGTCGATTCGCATGGACAACAAGGATCAAACGTACGAAAACCAGCTTCTGAAATTATTGCGAGCCTGCAAAGAATTCGTTTGATTTCTCTCTCTGTCTTCCGAAGAACTTGGAACGCATTTCGCAGATCATCGGAAAATTGCTCGACAGAAGAAGATCCTTGAGGGATCCGAATGCAACCCTGCCAAGCGACTGATAGCCAACGCCAATAGCAGAACAGCTTTGCAGGAGGATCTCAGGAAGTATAGGCAAGCCAAGATAACCAGCCGAAGAAAGACAAAGTCTCTAGAAGTGCCGAAGGGACCACTGCGAATATCACGTACTGCTGTCTGCACTATTGAACGAAGACGGGACTTCGACTTCCTTCCGATATAAGATGGAATCTGTCGCGAAGAACTTTTACTTCAACCTCGTCCGCTCATCAACACCCGTGTCCATGCTCGTTGTTCCCACTGGAGAAGTACCACCACGAATTCTACTTGCTGAGGTGCGCACAGTGATTCAGACCATAAAGACGCGTCCACGGTTCCAGGACCAAACCATCTTTCCGTCGAAACTCTGCGAGCGGAGGACAACGTCTACAGGAGATTCTCGCCTCGCACTTAACATGCTAGCTTCAGAAGGAAAGGATTCCCGACCAATAGAGAACGTCAAGAACTTTCATTCTCTTCAAGAAGGGCGAAAGGGAAGATCTTCGGAATTATCGTCCTGTATGCCTACTGGTGGTCTACATTTCCACGAAGGTTATCCTTGCACGCATATTTAGGACACTGGATGAAGCAACCCCAAAACAAGCTGGATTCCGCAGGGGATTCAGTTGCATGGATCACATTCAAACGGTTTCGAGGGTTATAGAAGTCCGCCGAGAGTACCAACTGCTTCTCGATTTAACCTTCGACAGGGTCGCAAGTTGCGACTCGCAATCAACGCCATTCTTTCAGCGCTATTCAGTCAAAGAGTGGACGCAGCTTATGTGAGGACATTGGCTAACTGCAACAAAAATTTCAACATATTCGATCGCCCCTGACCATCACATCTGGAAAGGGGGCTCAACAAGGCGAAATCTCGTACAAGCTACCCAACGCGGCCTTGCAGTGGGTGATGAACAAGGTCAAGCGTGGATGTGGCAGGAACACCTGGAAGGTCATATCTAGGGATCAGAGAGGTGGGGGGGGGAGGAGAGGGGATGTCGTAATCGAAGCCGAGAATCAAATGTCGAGAAAACACAGAATGCTTAATCAAGGAGTCACTAGTAACATACTTCAAGCTGAGTAAATGGATAAACCGATACTTTGAAATAATATACATGACAAACAGCATGCCAGAAACCTTGCAAAATCTAGTAATCAGTGCTACTGACTTACCACCATTTACCTATCGTACGCATATCAAAGATACTCTACCAGAGATATTGGGTATAACTCCTGTAATTAGAATGTCGAATAATCTCTATTGACCAAATTTTAGCGGTTCCCAGATATTGGGTCAACCGCGTAAAGTGATTTTCAAACGAATTCGTTTTAGAGATAAGTTACCCACCTATTTTTGCACAAAGTGAGCTCTACTTCTGCTTAATTCATGCTAGCAATATCACTTTGAAAAGAGGACAATGGAATAGGAGTCCAGCCAACTTGTTGATCGCATTTTTTGGATTTAGTAGTCGTGCTTTCAACAACTCCCACTCATTGTCAGACGAGTGAAAGCGGATCAGGACCAAAACAGTCTGTGAAACTACGATATACGGAATACTTATTTTTTGTGTGAAATGTGAGGTAAAAATCCTTTTGTGTTGAAGTTAATGGATGCCACACCTTTTCTAGGGTTGGGCCTCATTAACTTACGTTCAAAGCGGTTGAGTGGCTACGCTTTTTATATCGTTGCCACCGCTCAACTTTTTTCTCTTCATAGTAGATTTTTATGCGAAGCCAACATGCACAAAAGCAGATTTAGCCCTTTTAAGAGCAGTGGATCGGCAAAATCCAATTCTCAGGAAATTTTAACGTGGTAGGTTCCTTATCGCCCAAGTATGAAAACAGTGCAATCCCGGTTGCATAGCATGCTTTCTGTGCCGAAAAAATTGCTCTCAAACTTACACGCGCAGGCCAATCTTACACGTCCGGACGAGTTGACAATTTCCTTCTCACCATTGGAGGCTGCCCGCCGCAGTGCTATAACCATTGGGTCCTCCAACGATTTAACGTCATCAGCCTTGCTCCACTCGTCCAATTCCAAAGGGAAGGGTATTAAAAAAACGCTCATTTTCGCCGTTTTCAAGCCTTCAAAAGCGGATTTTCGGGATCAGCGTATTGAATAACCTCAGGTGAGCGCAAATTTGACTAGGTTGAGATTTGCCGAGCCACTGCCTTTGAACTCCCAATCACCTGTGTGTGAATGACAAAAAATATTGGTTTCATGAATCTGCGCTATAGTGGGAATGCCAGAGAAGGACGGCAAGAATAGTATGGATGTTTTGCATTGTTTGTGCGACAATTTTTGAATTTATACTTGTTTTTTGTCGTTTTTTTACATTAGACCATTCGGCTTGACAGTGAAACCATTCAGAGATAATGGACACAAACCTACAGTTCGTTCTCAAGAGTTTATTCAGAAGAAGTGGAGCTTATCGCCCTTGGTCCGTTGTTCTAATTCAAGGAATTTCGAAGTACAGCCCAATTTGCTGTCGGAAGTGCAAGTAGTTCTTTGAAAGTTAGTCGAACCGATTCCAGCAAGCTAAATAATGTACAGATTATGTGTTATTCTTCAATGTGTATGTGGCAGCCGATCCCGCCATCTTGTAGTTTCGTCGATGTAATGCAATTTCCGTCTTCTTACCCAAGAAGGATTTCGAATTGTTTTGTTCGAATCTTTCCTTTCCTAGCCTTGTGAATCGTCAACCACAATACTTTCGGATAAGATTACGACTCAATTCTGCTATTTTATATCTTGGAGTGGCCAGTAATGTAAGAGTGTGCGTTACCTAACCTTTGCAAAACTTTGCGTAATAGTTTGAGGAGTGCGTGTTGTTTGGGCTTTGTCTTTATTTGTTTATGGGAAAAACCAGTTTTCCGACTGGTTTTTCCCATAAACAAGGTTTTGATTATTTTGTACTCAAACAACACTATGTTTTCTGCTAAATCTTGAAAAACGCAAGCGTGATATCAGCACAATCATATGGTCATTTGAAAACAAATAAGTGCGTTGATTTGAAATTTTCCAGAATTGTTTTTTTTAGTTTCATTTCACTTCTAGTTGTCAGACGCATACTTTTTTCTTCTCTGTATTTCTGCAATTTGCATTAAGCCATAGTATAGTGCAGGCGCATATCTTTCATGCGAAATCATTGTCATAAATCTCCTAGAACAGAAAGGAGAGCAATTTAAGGGCTTGTAGCCGTCTCATCGGAGGGAGGGGAAAGTGGTGGGGAAGGAGGTCGTATTTGTACGCAACTCAAGGACGGGGGAGGGGGTCGTGTTTGGCCGACCTATGGCCACATCTCTTGCTCTACTCTGATGATAAAGTCCCAGGGCTGGGACAAGAGATACATACGAGTTGATGGGAGGATTCCTATCGAACCTTTGTTTTGCGGACAACCGGAGGTGCGATGGGAGGAGCCGGGCCCACCGAAAGTGAAGGTGGTCCCAGCTACCACTGGCCGGCCAAAAGTGAAGGTGGTAGTGTCGGACGCTCACCTCCCAAAAACGTCGACGGGGGGGGGAGGTGCGGGGGGGGGGGGGTAGAACGGTCGAACAGAGCTATCTTTCTACGTCGAACTATGACCCAGCGGCTTTCTTTAGGGCCACAGACACGATGTATATCAAAAATATTTATGAATTTTATTTATAAAAATTTAAAATAGACGTGTTTAGTAAATGGTGTATTTGGAAGTAAAAGTTTGTTGGACTGTACTGATTTTATTGATTAAATTTTGTCAAAACATACTGCGAAGGAAGAGGTCGATCTAGGCAGTAACGGCCGAGAACCAGAATTTTGAATATTTAAATAGTGAAAAATCATGCGAAATTTTCACTGTTATAAATCTGTTGTTTGAAAATGTCAGCAATTGCGACTTCATAGGTTTTAAAGAATAAATGGTGCTTTTTCAGCTAGTTAAAGAATTGAGTGGATTTGAGAGACAGTCGTTGAAAACCGGAATTCTAAAAATTTACGCCATTTTTGCGTATTTTTTGACAGTTGGCAGTTAAACTCATATAAATCTTGAATGTGAAAGTGTGTGATGTTGCGACTTCATAGGTTTTATAGAGTAAGGTTTGCCTTATCAGAATATATCTTAACCGTCCGCTCCATTGAAACACCTCCGAGAACCAGAGTCTTGAAAAAGCAGGTAAAAAAGCGCTTTTTGAATTTCAACAGCTCATAACTTCTTCAGAACTGCATGAGTCATGTTGCGATTTCATGCTTTAGATTCTTCTCATCAAGAGCTTTCAGATGATATATAATATGTGGGGGTTTAGAGCCTATTACGAATTATGCCCGTGGGGGGAGCCTTTTCATACCAAAGTCTCCCCCTAGCCCGCTTTAATGTATTGGAGGGGGGAGACTTTGGTATGAAAAGGCTCCCCCCACGGGCATAATTCGTAGAAGGCTCTAAACCCCCACATGTTGTACATCTTCTGAAAGCTCTTGATGAGAAGAATCTAATCTATGAAGTCGCAACATGATTCATGCAGTCCTGAGAAGTTATGAGCTATTGAATTTCAAAAAGCGCTTTTTTACCTGCTTTTTCAAGACTCTGGATCTCGGAGGTGTTTCAATGGATCGGAACGGCTAAGATATATCCTGATAAGGCAAACCTTACTCTATAAAACCTATGAAGTCGCAACATCACACACTTTCACATTCAAGATTTATATGAGTTTAACTGCCAACTGTCAAAAAACACGCAAAAATGTATTCGATTGTATTTATTAGAATTCCGGTTTTCAACGGCTGTCTCTAAAATCCACTCGATTCTTTCACTAGCTGAAAGAGCACCATTTACTCTTTAAAACCTATGAAGTCGCAACTGCTGACATCTTCAAACAACAGATTTATAACAGTGAAAATTTCGCATGATTTTTCACTATTTAAATATTCAAAATTCTGCTTCTCGGCCGTTACTGCCTGGATCGATCTACTTTCTTCGCTGTACGCTATAACAAAATTTGCTTAATAAAATCCGTACAGTTTCGCTAAGTTTTACTTCCATATACACCATTTACTGAGCACGTTTATTTTAAAATATATGCCGCCGTATACATAAATTTATGCTTTCAAAAATCTTTTTTGCGTTTGTTTTGCTTATTTTCCTTCTTTATCGTCCAGCGAAAAATTTTTTATTCCAAAAGTGAATTTGGTTACCCTGTACCAGCTCAAAAGTGAAGGTAGGGGGAGAATCGGCTCCCACTATCGTAACTCTGCGGACAACATCGTCCTCTTTTCGAGCAGTATCACTGAAGCAGAGACGATGCCGAAGGAACTTAACGAAGTAGCGAAAACGATCGAGTTGCGAATAAATCGGAAGAAGACTCAGTTCATAAGAAAGAACGCCCTTTGTGAAGATGCAAAAATGAAATTGGAAGGCACCCCCGTCATGGATACCTCTTCATACTTGTATCTCGGAGATGAATTTGGAGAACGACTCGAGAGGAAAAATTACCGGGAGAAAAAGAGCAGCCTGAGCCGCCTTCGGGACTCTGAAGGAAGCCACCGGCCGATGGGCTCGGAGCTTCGCGCTCACCTTTTCAACTCAAACGTTCTCCCGGCGCTCTTCAGCTGACATTTAGGCCGACATTGTAGCCGTGGAAAGCTCACGAGTACCCACAGAGCTCCTAAGCGGAGTTATCTGAAGATGTCCCGACTCAAAAATCCTGTAGGACTTCGCAGTAAGGGTATGAGAAGAAAGTCTCATCTTCTTGACCCAGCGGAATACGTCGCGAAAGCGAAGCATCGATGGGTCGGTCACTGTAAGAAGAACAGACGACAAATGGAAACTATGCACATCAATTTCTTGAGAAGCAAAACGTTCCCCGAGGAACCTCCAACGAGATGATCAGACTTGCTTGTGGGACGGATGGACCAACTGAGAAATCAGCTGGATACGATTGTTGACCCTGGAAGCGTGGACGTGGCCATCGACGACAACAGCAAAAAAGATCGCACAGTCTGTCCCAATCGGGATCAGGCCGAACCGTCGGCCGAATTTGCGCGCTCGCAGCGCTAGGGGATTGCGCTGCATACGCGCGCTGTCGCAGAGAGCGAAGAGATCGAGGAGAGAGCAGACTAGCTAGCCGCAGATATGGCGCGAAGCCCTCGCGGCGCGGACTCCCGCCATGCCGATTTTGGCCTGGTTAGGATTGGGGCAGACTGTAAATGTCTGAAGCGAGGGACAGGGATCGATGGAAACTTCTATGCTGGGGCGCACGTCAGTGGGGCGGGCCATCTAAGTATCTAAGTAAGTAATAACCGCTGCATCTTGTCTTTGGCAAGTTCTTTGGGGTGGAAAAGCTTAACTAGAATTTTTATCGGATAATCTACGAAGTGTGGAATTGGAACCTTTCAAGCAGAAGTGGGCAGTGACTGAAATTATTTGTTGATCGTATTCATGGTTGAAAACAGCTTTAGAAGAATGCGTAGAACGCAGAAGCTGCTCAGTTTAAGTTGAGAACATATGATAGAGAAATAAAACATGTATAAGTGCAAATCGATACCATCGTTGCCCTTTGGCTGTTTTGATGTGAGAGCCACAGTCAGAATTACTGTCAGAGCCGCACCAAATATGACCACAAATAAAAACAGGGCAGCCCATGGCAATTTATCTGAAAAAGAAATTGTAAAATTGTCAATGTTCCTCATCTCGCACTCCATTTCTGACCTAACGAAGGTTTGTCAATCTGCAAGTTGTTTTCATGGGATTATCAAAACGCTTTTGTCTGCTAGAATAAACCTCTCAACAGTTCTTTGCAAAGCACCTAGAGTATGAGGTGTAATGATTGAAAGCTTAGGGGACGAGTGATGTAGTGGTATGAGGCTTTGATCACGTCGGACCAAACTTCGCTTTCGCCTCCTGGGTCAAGATCTCTATTCTCCGGGCTAGCAAATATGCACCAGAGTAGTCTGGGAACATAAAAACACTGACTTGGTAATAAACTGTCCCCGTAAGTCACGGTGATAGACGGGACGCCTTTAGTAACCTCTTTGATTATAAAGTAAAGTGCGTGCTTTTGGCGCGTACCCGCAGAGGATATTGAAGACGCCGAGTTTCTCCTTTATCCTTATATTAGTAACTAAAAGCTTGATGTGTAAGGACTTAGCAAGTTTCAACAAACTTGTAAGAAGTTTGCAGATAGTCAAACAAAATCTGCTTAAAACTGAAGAAAAAACTCTGGAAAGTTGCATAGCAATGTTTCTACGCATGCTGATAACACTCATATCTTTTTACTAGTTTCAGTTTCTTAATAGTTCAATCAAATTCAGTAGCATTGAAGGCATCTCTGTTAAAGGCATCTCTCATCTCTCAAATCCAGCCGACGCTGCGGTCTGATCCCGATCGGGGCAGACTGTAGCACCTCCGCTCCACTGAGATCGAACCCCTTCCACTGCTCTACCTACTCATTATCTTCATTGTGCAGTAAGCTAGTGCAGTGGCTACTGATTTAGGAGCATCAAGGGGAAACAAAGAAAGTTGAGCTGTAGGGATGGTAAGGCGCTGGATATGATTTCAGCATGATCGTACTCTTCACCAACCGTATTGTTTTAATCTAACCTGTCTCCAATGACGTGAATGAGTTATTAGATTTCCCAGCAGCAGCAATCAGTGAAAGATTCAGCGAGTTTTCCATAAACACTTTGTTTCGATCCTCTTTATCATACTTCATTGTAAAGCAAAAACTGTTCTAACACGAGCACATTATATGAGATCAAGAGAATGTGAATTAAGAAGATTTGATTCTATTTTCAAGAAGAAAAAATAAAAGATATTGCTCTACGTTGCGTAAGTGGAATTCAGAGAATAATTGCGGTACCCTACTTTTTTATTCAAAGGTTATCGGATAGATCTGAAATCATCCCATAAAAGGCGGAGTAATGGCAGGAGCCGGCCTTCGGCCCTTGAAGTGTGATGTACCCTCGGGATTTCTCTGGAGAAGCTAAGCATCATTATAAGAGATACCGGTGAGGCTTTGGGAACTCCTGGGCCGTCGCCAACAGCTCTGACTATCCTAGGGCGAAAATCATAGATGTTTGGCATTCTTTTTGAAGAAGACTTGACCTCAGTGGGTCATAACCTTTTTCAAAACAATCCCATAAAAATGACGACAGAGCAATGGATATCTGCGTAATGTAAATTTAAGGTAGCTAGCTCTACAAAATAGTACGGTCGTCAAAAGACTTCGTTACATTTTTGTATCAACAAACAGCGTCTACATATTTTTGAGGCACTCCAAGTTTGGCTTTTGAATCCGACCATGTTCGAATTTAATCATTGAAAGTATCAGGCTGTCCCATAAGTTCCGTCCGTTTTAAATTTCAACCGCAATAAATCATGAACTTCTTGATCCTAGATAGGTTCCAAGGTACCGTTCGATAGAGCAAATCAAGCTCTACAAGATGGCTATCTCGCTTTTGCATCAGCTCTGATCCATCTCGAGTTTCAAGGAGAAAACTTAAAAGATCCAACTGCCCGAAAAATCGAGAAAAAATCATAACTCCGTTCAAAAAAATTCTGTAAAAATTCTAACTTGCTCGCGTAAACAGTATCCATATAACACATTTATATACGCCATTGCCGTGTTTTTTCCTTGGCTAGAAATCAAGAAAATGAAGATTTTCACGCTTTTGCCAAAGTGGTGCTGTGATGTCCCTACATAGATAGTTGTATACTACTAGCCTGTAAAAGTGCAAACATAAATTTTCAGCTGTCTACAAGCTTTGGTTCTCGAGAAATATCGAATACAGCTTGCCTTAGTTGGATGCCTTACGCTAAAATCCATATTTCTCGAAAGCTAGTGCCTGTAGAGAACTGAAAATTTACATTTGTACTTCTACAGGCTAGTAGTATACAATTATCTATGTAGGGACATCACAGCACCACTTTGGCAAAAGCGTGAAAACCTTCATTTTCTTGATTTCTAGCCAAGGAAAAAACACGGCAATGGCGTATATAAATGTGTTATATGGATACTGTTTACGCGAGCAAGTTAGAATTTTTACAGAATTTTTTTGAACGGAGTTATGATTTTTTCTCGATTTTTCGGGCAGTTGGATCTTTTTAGTTTTCGCCTTAAAACTCGAGATGGATCAGAGCTGATGCAAAGGCGAGATAGCCTTCTTGTAGAGCTTGATTTGCTCTATCGAACGGTACCTTGAAACCTATCTAGGAACATGAAGTTCTAATTTATTGCGATTGAAATCCAAAGCGGACGGAACTTATGGGACAACCTGATATATGCTCGAAATAAAAAAATTTTCGCATATTGTCATTTCGCGTATTGATCAATTGCAATGGACTTCATTGCTCTGGCTCGCCTTTTCTGATCAGACAGTTCTACCCTTTTCTTTTGCACTTTTCTTCAGGTGCACTTGCTTCGCAAAATTTTGCAGAAATGCAAAAGTCCGCACAGACATTCTATTTGCGAATTGGTCAATACTCATAGACAGAAAATCAAAAATGAGCAGAGTTACTGTTATTAGCAACAGTTTTTTGCACAAATATGACTTCTAATCCGCTTTATGTAATTATAGACACACGAGGAAGGCTTAGAACGGAAAAACATGGAAAATTGTCAGTTCAAATCGTTAACTACAAATCAATTATTGGTTCATGTAGACAGAGCTATAGCCAAAGGTCAAAGTTTGCCTGCTTCTCCCTCATTCCAAATGATATTTTCATAAGCTGAAAATTGCCTTGGAATACCAGGGGAATCATAGTCAAAGAGTCCATCAAACTTTTTTGCAGTTTACATACAGGGTGTCCCAAAAGAATGTGCTTACTGTTTAATTGTTAATGACTCTATTGTAATGAAGTTTTCGAGAAGCTTCAGGTACCGTTTTGTAGAGAGAGGTTGAACTTAGACTTACAGTATGGAGCAAATCATCTCTCCCTCTTCACTACTGTAGGATTACGGTAGGAAATTCAAGCATATGGTGTCACTGCAAAAAAGCTGCCGTTTCAAAAATTTTCAAAAAAAAGTGAAATTTTGTGTGATAGGATTTTCATTGACACTGAGTTCGATACTCAACTACGTACAAAGTCGCAAAACTTTTCAAACGGTGTAAACCCACTTTTAAGGAGCATTGAAAAACGGCAGCTACTGCTTACCTCGAGCTTCATATTTGGAATCAGCAACTCTACTTAGCCCAGTGTGAAATTTTTAACTTAAACTTTTTAGGCTGTTTTGTTTTCTGAGGCAAGATGTGACCTTTCATGGCTCAAAACTCTCTTTGAAGTTTCTACCGTAATTCTACAGTAACGAAAAAAGAAGGATGATTCGTTTTATACTGTAAATCTAAGTTGAAGCTAGCTCTACAAAATGGTGCCTAAAGCTTCTCTAAAGACTTCATTATAAGAAAGTTATCAACAATCAAACAGTAGGCACATTTTTGGGACACTTTTCTTTTTGAGACAAAAAAGCAAAGGGGGTATCGTCGTTTTTAAGTCCGGAAAGACGCAAAAATTGTGAAGTTTTTTTTGTCGTCTCGTTATTCGAGGGGTTTTTTTACGTTTAGAATTTAGAGTCAAACGGGACTTCGTTGCATTTTCCAAAAGCCACCTCGTGCCGAGCCCTGTTGTCGTGTCATTACACCATCGTGAGCTTTTGATAAGCAGTTTATCACAATTAGAATTATGTACTCACAAGTTATAGAAGTGTGATTATTGGCCTTTTGACTCATTAATGTATTATCTCTGAGAGAAAGATTTTACGTGCTTGTGTAATATTTCGCATGATTCACTTCTCTAAATAGACTGATAAGAAGAAGACGGTAACATTACTAATCAATGAAAAAGCTGTGTTTGACTTTTGTCTGGATTATATGGGTGTGGTGCAAAGAAAACGATGGCAATTGTCACCCGCTACTGCCAACGCATGGAAGTGCACTATTTTCTTACAAAACGCAAATTTTAGACACAATGAAAATGAGAAGAGTTAACATAAATGCTATCTAATCTAATATATAAAGAATCGTTAGCTCAATTCAAAAACCTGCAAATAGCGGGAAACCGCGGCGGGGTCCCGAAGCGAACGCTCTTGCAATTAACACCTTCAGACTACTAGTACACTAGTACTAGATCAGTTTTGATCGCAACATATGTGCAAATTGATACTACTGCAAGAAAAAACGTGAAATAGACAAAGTCCTTTGAAGCTTTTCTTTTCGCCGATTTTAACTTATTTTTGCAACTCATATTTTAGCCAACAAGATAAAATCAACTCTTTAGTCTGATCAAAAGCATAAGAAAGGAAAATCTCCAAATTTTCGAGTACAGATAGTCAAACATGAGGGTAAGAGATGTGCTGTTTATTGACATTTGCAAGGGCTCGGCGGTGCTGGCACCATTGAAATTTCAAAACGAAGTCCCCTTTGATTTTTGCAAAATTTTACGAAGTCCTCCTTGATTCTAAACCCTAAATGTAGAAAACTCTGAAGTAACGGAACGTCGACTAAAGAAACGTCGCAATTTTCGTGTCTTTTCGGCCACAAAAACAATATTTCCTTTGTTTTTTTTTTCCCAAAACGACATCCGGTTTGACCCGCTGCCAGTTGGGCCAAGCACTGATACCCATTAGCTGTCGTTGCTCTTGCTCGATACGCGAATTGTATGCTCCTCATATCGTAACTGTTTGAGCTTGAAAAAGTAAGACTGATGACAAAATCTCGAAATGTTGATTGAATAAATAAACTTCATACTGAAGACTACTATATTTAAGTACTTGTCACAAAATCGTTCTTTAGACGAATTGTATCAAAAATTTTCTACGTTACAGCTACAGTATAGAAGAGCTACGAGTGCTTTTATATGGTTTAAACAACTCATATTCCATCTCAGATGGTTAGTCATTTGGTCAATTTTAAAAGCTAAGCAAAGCAAGTAAAGCGCAAAATTTTCAATTTCACAAATCAAAACAATTTTTGCTAAAGGATGTGTTGATTTTACCTTTTGTGCTGACCTAACATTTGCAGCTAATCTAAGCTATGCGTAATATTTGAAAACTAGAGGAAGAAGCTCTACTAATGATCTCAAAAGCAGATCCCCAAGGAAAGGGCCATGAAGTCGTCCTCGTAAGTTGAAAATTGCCAAAAAGTGTTTATCCAAGTCGACAATACCATTAGTTGTAGATATCGCTTAAGAACAAATAAATGTAATGCTTTGTTTTTGACTCGGTTGAAAGAAAATCATGCAAAAATGCACAAATTTTCGAAACTTTAAGTTCGCCGTTGCGTTGGCCAACCTTGTCTACCATTACGATAAATATAAATATATATATATATATATTAGGTTGAACCGAAAGTTCTGTCGCACCATCTTCAAAAAATCATAACTTCCTTCCCTCACGACCATTTTGCGCAATTCAAATTTTGTCTGAAAGCGAAAAGCATGTAGTTTCCAAAAGTCCTCTGGTAACTTTCCAACATGCTCAGGTTGCAGAGATAAAAATGAAAGAACGAGATCATCCGAAATTCGGAATTTTTAAGCAAGAATTCTAGAAATTCAGAAACAGTGCGATAAAATCCAGAAAAGCCATTATCCTAATTTCTCTTACATTTGATTACTATCTGAGTTAAGTTTGTGCTGATCGAGCTCTTCTTTCAAAAGTTATGATTTTTTGAAAAAAATGCCGAAAAATCAATTTCTTAGGAATTCTTAGGAAAGTGATTTTTCGGCATTTTTCTTTCAAAAAATCTTAACTTTTGAAAGAAGAGCTCGATCAGCCCAAACTTAACTCATTTAGTAATCAAATATAAGAAAAATTAGGATAATGGCTTTTCTGGATTTTATCGCGCAGTTTCTAGATTTTTAGAATTTTTGCTCAAAAATTCCGAATTTCGGATGTTTTCGTTCTTTCATTTTTATCTCTGCCATGTGAGATGCTGAAAGCTCCCCAGAGAGCATTTGGAAACCACATGTTTTACGCTTTCTAATAAAATTTAGATTGCTTAAAACGTTTGTGATGCAAAGAAGTTATGATTTTTTGAAAATGGTGCGAACGAACTTTCGGGACAACCTAATATAATCAGTGGCGTACCCAGGATTTCGGCTCGGGGGGGGGGGGGGCGACAAAAAAATTTTTTCTAAAGAAGGTGCGTGGCGTTAGGCACGCACTCCGAAAAAATTTTTGGGATGCTTCTCAAAATTTTTGCAGGTCCCCGACCCCTAAAATCTGGAAAAAGGGTTTTATAAGGCTAAAATGAATTTTTTAAAAGTTTTAAAAATTATTTTAATTATTTACAAATGCAAACAAGTCATTTGCACAATTTTATAACCCATGTAAGTAACTTTCAAAAATTTCGCGACCCGTTCTCGGTAGGGGGACGCGCGCCCCCCCCCCCCCGCCCCCCCCCCTTCGGTACGCCACTGATATATTATATACAGGGTGTCCCAAAAAAATGTTAACACTGTTTGATCGTTAATAACTCCCTTGCTTTCAAGTCTTTCGCCGAGCTTTATTTACCAGTCTGTAGAGCGAGGATAAACTTAGATTTGAGCTTATCGAGCGAATCATCTAACGCTCCTCGTTACTGTAGAATTACGGTAGGAAATTCCAGCATGTGGAACCGTCATGAAATATGCCCTCTGACAAAATTTTTTTCAAAAAATCTGAAAAACCGTGTACTAGGGTTTTCGCGCACGCTGATTTTACTACACAACTTTTTGCGAGTGTTTTCAGCTTTTTGACGGTGTAATCACATTTTTGACACATGCTGGGAAGTCAGTTATTATGCTTACCTAGGATAACTTTGAAAAGAAGTATCATAATGAAATGAAAATTTCATATCCAAAATCAGCGGCTTTCATTACCATAGTACAAGAGATTTTGGCTTGTTTGGCTCTGTTTCAAAGCAGAAAATAAGCTTCAATAGTCTAAAATCTTTGTCAAATTTCCTACCGTAATTCTACAGTAACGAGGAAGGTTAGATGATTTGCTCGATACTGTAAATCTAAGTTTATCCTCGCTCTACAAAATGGTACCTGAAGCTCGGCGAAAGACTTGAAAGCAAGGGGAGTTATTAAAGATCAAACAGTGTTAACATTTTTGGGACACCCTGTATATAGGGTGTCCCAAAAAAATGTGCACGTTTGATTGTAAATAACTCTTTTGTAGTGAAGTGTTTCGAGAAGCTTTAGGTACCATTTTTGTAGAGCGAGGTTCAACTTAGATTTACAGTGTAGAGCGGATCGCCGATCTCTCATTTTTACTGTAGGATTACGGCAGAAACTTTGAAGAGGGTTTTGAGCCATGAAAGGCCATATTTTGTTCCAAAAAGAAGCCAAAAGAAACTGAAAACTTTTACACTGGGCTAACTGGAGTTGCTGATTCTAATTGTGAAGTTTGCAACTTTTCGTAATGCTTCATTAAAAAGTTATGCGAGGTAATCAGTAGCAGACGTTTTGTAAGTGTTCCTAAAAAGTGCAATTACACCGTTTAGAAAGCTTCTCAACCTTGTAAAGAGTTGGATATTGAACTCAGGGTCCATAAAAACCCTATTACACAATTTTCCACGTTTTGAAATTTTTTGAAACGGCCGCTTTTTTCACAGTGACACCATATGTTTGAAGTTTCTACCTTACTCCTACAGTAAGAATGAGCGATCGGCGATTCGCTCTACACTGTAGATCTAATGTAAGTTGAACCTCTCCCTACAAAATGGTACCTAAAGCTTCTCGAAACACTTCACTACAAGAGAGTTATTTACAATCAAACAGTGTGCACATTTTTTTCGGACACCATGTATATATATGTAATGACTGTTGCAAAGCATCCAGCAATTGTGTGATTTTTGGGGGAATGAAATAGAAAAGCCATTTTTACGAGCAGCACTCTTCTCTAAAAAACTAGTCAGGCTTATATGACAGATGCTCTACGAAAAATTCTTCCAACAGCACCAATGAGGAATTTCTGTTTACAATCTTTAATATGTCCTGGTCAAAAATGTCGCGCGCCTCGTTACGGAGAAATATTTACGTTAGAAAGTCTCCTTACATGCGATGCCTTTTCGCCAATTAGCTCCGTCATCGGTGCTCTCGTGGCGGACTGGGCTGATTGTGGGTCCGCTCTCAGATTGATTCCGATTGGGTCCGCTCTCAGATTGAGCCATTGATTCTGGCCAACCTTGTCCATCATTACGATACATTTCAAGCCTACAACTAAGGCTTAGGCTAATTCAAAGAAGTTCCGAGAGATGATGAGATTTATTTCATATAAAAGCAAATACGAAAATGAACTTAGACACAAAAGATGCAAGACAAATTCACTGTAGAATGCTTTTGATATTGACGTTTACGCTAATCGCTAGGCCTGCCCTGTAAAGCTGATTTAAATGTGCCTTATCTATCAAGTGATTCTTTGGACGATTTTACAGACATTTCCACGATAGCGGTAACGTTTGTTTCTTCCAACAAATTTGCACATAGTCTAAGGAAGAAACAGCACATTTATTTATTTTATATTTTTAACACATATGCGTGTAGTTGTGGAAACTGAAACGGTAACGTACTCCCATGTTGACTTTTTCGCTTCGCTTTCTCGATGCCAATATATGTCTTTCACGATATATCAAATGTTCGCATAGTTAGCTGATCCCAGCAGTTCAAACATTTTGTTCAACAATGTATCGCACAGATTTGTTTGAGAAATATCGAAGCGCTAAAATAACCTTAAACTACTGATTAAAAATGTTACGAGTATTTTTCTCCGAAAAGCACGCTGAATAGTTTTTGATACAGATGGGGAGTTCCATTTTCTGAACTCTGAAAAAAAATGAGCCTTTTTTCAAAGACTAAGGTACCGGAGCAATTAACAATAGATTTCGCTTCAACTTCTTGACCCAAAGTTCATAAAAAGGATTCTTATCAGTTTTCTAAGTCTGCGCTTTTTGTAGTACTTCTTGTAATCAGCATGTCAAATAGCATCTGTCCATATTTTTAGCAGATTCTGAGGTTTTAAATTTTGGGTCAGTGGAATGTCCACTGGAAACATAACTGACTCAGTTCTGCAGGCCAGTTGAGCCCGATAAAGTGATTTTGGCTAGGCTTTTAATCCCATCAATAATTATTCAAAGTGAATTTCTAGTACCACGAGAATGTAGTGGATTGTGATCAAAATGAGCTTTTTAAATCACTTATCAAAAAAAATTTGCACGTGTTTGGGAATGACCATTACACATAAACAGCTCTCCATCTAGAAACTTCAGGATTTCGCTTAGATTCGATCTAGGGCTATTTGATATGCTTATCAAAAGTGATCCTCATCCTCTGTGGTAAAGTCTCTCGATCCTGCTCACGGTAAGTATAACATGATAATAGTAGTGTGACACACCTCTTGCTTGAGCCTGAAGATGGGTCAGACCTTCGTGCCTTTGATGCATGCATGCCGGGGCCCGGCATGAGCTTGTTTTTAGGCTTCTTGAAAACGAAGTCTCCTTGACTTTCGCGAAATTTTGCGAAGTCCCCTTTTATTCTCAGGTCTGTACCTAAAAAACACTCAAAAAACGAAACATCGACTAAAGAGAACGTCAATTTTTGGCGACAAAAACGTTCCCATTGATTTTTCGCCCCAAAAACGAAGTTCAGTTTGCTTCCATACGATCTGCGTTGGGCCCTGTGCATGTACAGCATTTGGTCTATCAGAACTACCAGCGGCCACTACGAGCAGCTGTCAGAAATTTTTAGGAGTCTCACAACCGCTCCTGTTCTCATTAAACGCTTCTTATCATGGAGGTCGCCATGGAATTTCTGCTTTCCGCTCTTTTTCGTAGGGCAACGCTGTCTAATGTAAACTTTGTGCGTTTGTTGGCTTGATAAGGACTAAAAGAAGTAGTTTGTGGTTGAACTGCACGTTTATCTTCTCGCTGTACGTTTTCTAGTCGTTTTCCAGATTTTGATATTGTCCTAGCCGGTATCTTACTGTTAAGAGTTTTGCATTTGGTTCTCTGAGTCAAGCCAAAACTTTTAAAGAACTGGGTGAACCGGAAGTAAAGGAGCACACTCATTTTGTCAACAATTTCAAATATTTCTTCCAAAGTAATAAACAAACACTGTAAAAGCTTTCCATAAAACTTCATCTTTCCTCAAACAATTTGCATAGCAGTAAATACAAAGCCCTACCAGTTGCAAAAATTTGCTTTTTCCTACAGGAAAAAAACAGATCATTTGAAAAAGTGGAATGTGGCGCTAGATTTTCGGCTAAAAATCATGCTTTGGTAAATATTTCTTGAAAATGAGAAAGAACTGAGGAAGTTTCGCACGCATGGGTAGTCCGTAGAAAGCTTTTCCCTTATCAATGAAAGTGAGATCTTCGTTACCCTGGAAAAAAATTATTTATCGACAACAATTGTTTGTCTACCATACTGTAGCTTCTCTTCCACCCTAATATCGTTCAAGACATTGAGACAACGTGACCCATATGGTGGGTCATGCAATGACTGCCACGTAGGACTGGCCCACATGGTGGGTCACGGCTCAAATTTTGTTGAAATGATTACAATTATTAGGTGCGTTTATTTTGTGAGGTCTTTTATTTTCTTACCTCAGAGGATACCTTGACGTTCTTGCTGCTTTTTAGAACTTGTGTAGGTATGGATATGGCGATCTGCTTGATTTTAGCTTAAATTTTTGACTTATCCATGATAGTCGTTCCTCCAAAACAGACAAATAAAAAATGCGCGTTGTCATCAACATGTTATTCTGGTGACACTCTTCTTAGTTGTAGTATTGATATATTCAAATGCCTTACTGCGGCGGTGCTGATTGAAGCCTAAAAGTGGATAATCTTGATTTCAAGCACTTACAAAAATTATGAGTCAATGCTCATAATGTTTAAAAGATCCAAGATTAATGAGTCAGTTCTAACAAACTCCTTCTATAAAATTCTGATAGAACCCTTTCCAAATTTGGGCATCTAATTAATTTTCTACCTGAGAAAGGTGCACATATAGTCGTCCTCACCCCACTAATCGGTCGGTGGTCGAATTCGAATTCGAACTGGAGCAGGCCGGCCGCGACAGAGCGCGGCAGGTCGCCCTTCAGCCAGTCGCTTGCACATGAGTTCTTCTCCAGGGCTCGGCACGAGCTGGCACCAGGGAAATTTTCAAAACGAAGTCCCCTTTGGTATTGAAAATTTCGTACGAAGTCCCTTTTGACCTGTTTTGAAAACCCGCCATCATTTTTATATTATGTAAAAAATGTAGTAGTGTTTTCATGCATTTCTGATTTCATGAAAGAACTTTTCACAGCTTTCTGAGCTTTTTAAGTGGTCGAATCACATCTTGAGAAGCAGAAAAAGCCGATTTTTCGACTGCGGAGCGGACCGAGTGGTTTTCAAATTGCTATAAAACGCTGAAAAGAGAACATTATGAAACTGTTTCTTCTCCGTATGTAATCTTTTACAGTGTAGATACATTTTATGTAAAAAAGTATGAAAACTTATGTGAGCAAAGAGTCGGTGCCAGCTAATTCAGAAAAAAGTTCGGCACAGCTTTCATTCACATAAGTTTTCATAAATTTTCGGCCCATAGTTTCGGTCCACCAACGCGCACGCACACACCAAATTTGGTGTCATACTATTGCGTTTTGGCTGAAAACAACGCCTTTGTTTGTTGATGGACAACTTACCAATGGCATGCAGGTGGCATGCTGGCGGCATTTTTGCGGCAGTTCTCCGCCTCGGCCCCTGTAGAAACGATATATCCCCTTTGCTTTCCGTCCTAAAAACGATATCCAGCTTGACCCCGTGCCAGCTGTGCTGAGCCCTGTTCTTCTCTTGTTTTCTTCGTTTCTTTGCTATCTCTCGTATTGCGGCAATGTTCGTGATCAGATTTTTAGATTTCTTACCGCTAATTATTGTTTTGTGCAGTTATGTTCATTTGTTTTACATTTTTCCAGGCAAACCGGGAAGGAGGATGCTGCTGGAGATTTTTGGATGAAAAATCTCTTTTCCGATAAGTGACATATACACAAATGTGATTTATTGAACTGTGTCAATCTTCATCAGACTGTGTACTCTAAACTATTTTACGATAGGGCTGAAACTTTTCTCATGAAATGTTTGTTTCAAAGAGTTAGCGGTATGAAATCTGAAAATATATTAAGAACAATGCCGCAATGCGAGAGATAGCAAAGAAACACGAGGAAAATAAGAAAAAAGCTCGTGCAAGCGGTTGGCTGAGAGGCGGCGTCTGCCGCTTGCACGAGCTCGCCAGTCGCCGACTATACTTACTCGTGCTTCACAAATTTTGCATCAACCTAGTAATCACACTGCATTAATTCGATTAGTTTTCAATGAAAGTCTTGTGCAGTTTCACAAGTAGGTACAATATTATAATCTCCTTTGCATCGGTGATCGAGTTCTAGTCGATTCTCTGTGTATCTTGGTACGAGAGCGTGCACTAAATCAATACCTCAAATCATTTGTGTCAGCTGCTCTGTCCATAATAAAAGGTGTATTTAGGATGAATAGAAGAGCACTAATTTTTTTCCTTGTACTCCTTTGTGTTGCAGCCTATAATCGTGAACTTTTAGCACAAGATCAAACTGTGTAGCTCTAGGCGAACAACGACAGCGCTCGAATTTACGGATTATCTATGCGCATGGTTCACACTAGTAAATTTTGAGGGTAGTGTAAGAATGTGTATGCTCTTCTCGCTCCGCCTTAGTGCAAATTACTTTGCCTCAGCGTGGCGCTAGTTACTCCGGAGGGCGTGCAGGAGTTCGTAGCACCTTTCCTCGCACCAAGTTCGCACCAGCATTTGCACCCTGAAGGGATCTAGCACCTCCTCAGACAGTAGACGGCATACCTTCGGAGCAGAAATGGCAGAGTTCCCCAGCTGGGAATTGCCACTCGTGCTCGGAGCCCTCCCATATGTGCTCCGGAGACCTCCCATTTATGCTCTGGAGTCCTCCTGTTTTGTGCTCCGGAGACCTCCCATTTTGGACTCCGGAGTCCTCCCATTTTGTGCTGCGGAAGGCTGCCGCGGCATACTGTAACTAGCCCTAATTAAGCTAAAACCCCAATTTTGTCTCTAAACCCCACCCAAATTAGCTCTAGACCAGCGTTGAGCATGGCATATGACCGCCGAATACGACCCCCCCCCGGGTAGGAGTTCAGCGTGACCCACAACCCCGTTCTTTACCCCCTCCCTCTCAC